CCAGGACTGACAGACGTCGGATGCTTGCAAGTTTGTGTGCAAGCAGTTGAGAAGAGCCAGTTGAAGAGTCACGCCGGCGTGCTGTGAGTTTTCAGTGTCGGTGTTTGTTCTCCACATCTTTTCGGTGCTGCGTGAGGAAGGTCCTTGTCACCTTCTGCCTCATCGCAGGGCTGCTTGAGGCCATCAATGTCCTCGTCAAGATTCGGAGAGTTCAGAGAGTCCACTTTGGTGCTTCGGTGCGAACGCTTGATTCCGAGTTTCGAAGTGTAAGCCGAGCTCACATGCAGGTCAGCATGAACGCGGCTGTCATTGCAGCGCACCTCCTTCTGCACTTAGAAGACCCGGCGATCAGATGTGCGTCATGCTTCTACTGTAGTGCAATATGCTGGGAACTAGCCCTTGATTGTGAGGCAATGTGAGCGTATGGGCGGCCAGTAGCTGCTTTCGGCGAAATGTCGAGGTTTCAGCCGATTGTGGTGCAGCAGTTTGGTAGGCACCCCAGCTTGCAGCATCTTGCAGCTTCATTGTGACTTGTGTGAATTCTGCCCTTGTGGTGTGATTGACAGCTTCGGTTCTGTGTGCATAGCTCTGCGTCTTAGGTTGGGGCAATGACAGCATCGCAGCCGTGAACTTTGCTGGTGCAGCCTTGTCGGCACGGATCACAGATCCCGAAACAGACGCGACCAGATATAGTGGGAATGGGGGACTTGCTGGAGGGCTGAAATCTGAAAGGTGGTGGTGTCCTTGTCCATGGCACAGCTACGGCTGGAAGAGCGCTTGCAGATGTCCGTTGCAGCTGCGTGCAGAGCTCAGCATCAGGAGGCCTTTTGTTTACTCTAAGGGTTTCAGGGGCAAGAGGCAGCAGAGGCAAGAGCAAGAGCATGCCAGGTTGTACCTCGTTGGGGTTCTCACCTTCGCGCTGCCGCCGCCTGTGGAATGGCGAATGGTGACGTGGCAAGCAGCCAGCGGATGTGAGAGGTTGAGAGATGTTGAGCGTGGTCAGATGTGGTAAGGTATGGTGAGGTATGGTGCTCCTTTTGAAAAGTGCAGGTGGTGGGCTACATGTGCGGCATCAAGGCGGGAAGCTTCCGTAATGCTACTATCACCGTCGGACATGAGACAGTCGCCTTGTCCGAGGCGCAGATTCTGTTCATGGCCCCGTTTACTGCAATTTTCTCTCGCGGCCTGGCTGGAAATTCGATCGGCCACAAACTGACAAGCTGTTGTGCCATCTCGACTCAGATCAAACTTGTACGGAGTGCACGAGGGTATCTAGAATCTCCAAGCATGACGGCCAAAGTTCAGTAACAGCTAAGTTTTGGATGTGATGGCATTCGTACTGCGTTATGAGGCTTGATCGGCAACGCCAGGGTCACGCGCTTCTGGCATGGTTTCAAGGGAACAGTATCTCTCTGAAATATGTGCCCTGACCCCAACAGAGCGCTGACATGAAACCAGGAACTGGCTAACGACAGTGCTTTGTCTGGCGCCTGCGCTGGGTGCCGCGGTTGGCACTGCTGGGTGCTCAGGGAGCACATCGTTATGCCAGACACCAGAAATTAAGTCATTAGCCCCCGGCTAGAGGGAGTCCACATTCGACTTCCGCCTCTTGAGGGCCCCCCATTCCCATTGGCTTGGAGCATTGGTTTCCTCAGTCCCATCAAAACAAGTATGCATGATCCGAAGCTGCCGTGCGATCATTGCCCGAACTCAACCGGGAGCGGCCCGGTTGGATCGAGCACCATGGCGGTGGGTACAGCGCTGAATCACTACTGATTGCGAAACAGTGGCATCATTTCCATCCTCTAAGACGATTGCAAGGGGGCAGATGGGGTGATTCCAAGCGGATGGAGGGTAAAGTTTCAGTATGAGCCATGATGATGGAATAGATGTTCCGGTCCGAGACAGCTCCCTTACCGATGGAAGTGCTCTTGGGACCAACATTGAAGGCCTGCGCTCCGTTCTTCATTGCCTCAGCGCGCAGCCCAGCTCTTTGATCACACTTGCAGCTCAAATCTGCTCGCAAGTGCCCAAGCCAGACTTGACGTGCAAGAACTTGTAATGCCAAGAAAGCTGAGTTTTATGCAGTTTTGTCAATGCAGGTGGGCAGCTCGCGCAGCGCCCTGCTGGTGGCCATTCCTGCCTTAGTTGCTGCTGGGTCCCCTGGGCTTGCTCAGAACTCTGATAGCTGCATTTTCTGCTCGTGGCTGTCCAAGGATGTCGTGATTGCTGTGGGCTGGCACGACTTCTCCGCCCACCCCGCGGCCCTAGCCTTACAGAGGGGCAGTAGCAGAGCTTTCTCGCATGAGATTTAGCACCCACAGAGTTTTTCTGTGTGGGCCAGTCCTCGCAGATTTTGTGGGGTGTCACATCAAGCATGTGTTTTGCTGTTGGGCAAAACCAACTGTAGAAACACTGAGTTGAGAGGAGCTATGCAGCCCCCATCTCACGTGCGTCCTAAGTGGTTGGCATACACCTTTGGGGATGCTGCGATGCCTTTTCCCAAGCCTCTGAAAGCCTTGTCGGCACGGAGCTGGGCCCTGGAGAGGGGCCTGGATTGCCTACTGGGTGTTTGCGCCATTGTTGCGCCTGCACTTCATTCAGGTTGACGTCTCTGATTCTTACTCCGTGTCACTCTTCTCACTGTGCCGCTTCTGGTCTGTGCCACCACAGGAGCAGAGCAACAGGGGATCGGGCAGTTGGTCTGGTTTTTAATCCTTTCACATTTTTTAGGCCCTTGGCATCCTCTCTCCCTACAGTGAAATGGCAGGCTCAAGCGCGAGGAGTTCTTTTCCGGTCACGGCCCACCCCATGTGCCCGGGCTGCAAGCAATTGGCATCGGTCTTGAGAAGCTTTCAGCAGTCGCGGATGTGCCTCGTAGGATTTGGCTTTTTGGCATCTCAAGTCTGTGAGCGTATGCAGCAAGAGAGGCCCGAGCCAGAGTTCTGCATGATTGGGGTTCCGATGTGTCAGGTCGCGATTGCAGCGCTGTACTGTGACCTCGTGGGTACCGCACTGCGAAGTTGCAGTACAGCCCTCATGGGCGTACAACTTGTCAGAAAGCTAGCTTTGTGCCAGATCTGCCGGCGGAAGACAGCAGTTGAATGCATGGGCCGGAGTTTCTCCGAGTCATGCTCAACATGGGGCTCGGCTATCATGCAGGTGGCACGCAGACCTCGGAACCAGCACCTGCCGTCAGTCTCGGCAGATCTATGTGTGCAGGCACCAAATTAGCTAGCGGCGCAACTGTTTAAAGTATATGTTTTGAAGCATGGCCATGAGTTCAGTCACTGTACACGGCTCACGGGCATGCTACATGGCAAGGCATAGCAAGGCATAGCAAGGCCTGTAGCTGTTACTGGTAGCATGGTGTGTCTGCCGTGTCGTCTTTTCGATAAAGGCTCAGTGGAGTTGAGGACTCTGGAATTCACTCCTGCGCTGGACGGCCCGCAGTCCACAAAGAATCTTCTGGACGCGGCTGCTCCTAGCCCCCTCAAGTTTGTTGGGAATGAGGCGCAAGTTCGGCAAAGTAATTAGTTGATGGCATCTCAGAACGACACCGCCCTCTCTTTACCTGTGCTTGATTGCTGCTCCCATCTCAGCTCGATTCTACAGTCAAGCTGCACAACGCCTGAGGACCCTGAAGGGGTCCGCAAAGCATCCGAAGTCCACAGTCGGATGCATGTCGGGATTAGCGCACCAAGCCTGTCATCAGGTCGTATCAGCAGAGCACGTGCTGGATTGCAAAGTGTGACACATCCACTGTGGTATGTGTGTTTGAGGAGCTATCAACAAGGCATGTTCATCACCTCCCAGAAACGTAGTATGTGAGTCTCGAAAAGTGTCGAAAGGTTCCACACTTTGTTGTGCAGCCGGGCGCAGGATCATGCGAGTCAGTCGCTTGCAAGCAGATGGGTTAAATGACAGGCTGTTGTTCTTGGGGCTTTGCCTCTGGTGTCCTATGAACTAGGTCATGTGTCATCCAAAGGCTGTCATGCTTAGTCACCGAGCGTAGCTGGCTTAGAGCCCACGATCGTTCTTGTTTACCATCGCTCTTCTCCTGTCACGCGTTAGTCCGAGGCCTTTGGCATGATACAATCCATCGTCAAGGGCTTGTATAGCCCACTCCTCGCTCAGTTATCGATGCCCCCCCCCCCCCCCCCCCCGCGAAGGGGTTTCCTTTGCCCTCTTCTGCTTGTTAGGGCGCAGGCATCAACATGACTGGGCAGTGGCAACACCGGCCCCTGCATCCGGCATGCGTCCTTGGTTTGCAACAGCAGCTCTCCGTGAGGGTTACATCTGAATCGGTTCTGTTGCGAGCTTCTTCTGTTTGTCGGCGTTTGGGTCTGTGCTGGTACAGTAGGGTACGGCTTGGGAACAGGACCAAGAGAAGCTCAGACCCCCGACTCTCGTCCACTCCCCGGCCTTTTACCCCAAAAGCCTCATAGCCTTCGCTCCTCGTCTCAAGTGCTTTCTAGGCGAGTGTCAACGAATGGCATTCTGTTCAAGAGAGGTTGGAATGTCAATTGCCGGCAGCTTGCTCTACACATCAACAGGTGTTGAAATTGCCTGCTGGCTCGCAGTAGTAGCTGAGGCCAAACGGCCCAGTTAGGTTTGGCACGATGGGGGTACCACTGGAGGCTGAGGATGTCAAGGCAGAGACCAGTCTTAGGAAGCCACTTGCGGATTCGGCTTAGCAGGCTGTAACGCAGTCACGATCCAGACCATGAGCAGGATATCAGGATACCAGCTTTCGATCTTGTCCAAGCATTTTTGGCATACTCACTTCTCTCGCAAAGCGATGGCGAGTTTTGCCGCAAACCCTTCCATTGTCTCGGTGCCGCGAGGCTCGGTGCACAGCAGGGGCGGTTTCACTTCAGTTAGAGGGTTCGTGTGATGTTTTTTTTTTGCCTTTTTGCCCTTTGCTCTTCGATGCTATGGCAGGCGCTTCCCCGACTTCCGCGAGCCGGCAACCGCTGCAGCGGCTGCTGGACCGGCGCATGCTCTCCGCCAAGGGCTCGGCATTCTTGTTGTGCCCCTTGTACCTCTCTCAGCCACCGACTTGAGCGACTGCCTTCCAAGAGGTCTCAACCTTTGTGTCCTCGACTGCAAGTGAGACGCCGCTGGCAAGCCAGACAGCACGCGAATTCAGGCAAGGTTAGTCTTTGAGCGAGATGGACTTCGGGCAGCATTGGGGCAGTGTGAATCCTTCGGTATCTTGAGGCGGCCAGGATCCACGTGGCCGGAGATGATGCCAGAGGCGATCCTCTTCCCAGCGCTGGTCCCAGAGAGCAACGTGATGCAGCTAGGCCCAGGTAGGTCAGATTGCACACAGGGTGCCTTTATTTTGAATCATGTGCCGCTGGCCACAGACTTCAAGGGAACTATCTGTCTGTGAGGCTAACAAGCCCACAAGCCGCGCCGATGCACAAGTCTTGGCACGATGGGCTGAGCACCCAGTTTGAGAGGTTTGAGAGCATCTTGTCGCAATCTGTTTGTCCACACCAACTTTCCATGAACTCGTCGAAGACACGCTGATCTCAGCTGAGGTCTCTGCATCCTTCCAAACCTACGCGAAGCGGAGCAAGCATGCAGATTCGAAGGCATCAGCGCCCAAATGCTTGACAGTGCAAGCCGGCCGAACCCCGTCATTAGTGGACTTGGAGAGTGAGCATGGCTTTGACAGACTTGACAGACAGTGAGTGCAGTAGGAGACCGATGGGCGAGAGAGCACCCGCAAAATTGAATTCAGCCTTTGCAGCACTGATACTGACATGCGCGCAGGAGCTTTGCGAAGAGGACTTAACGAAGATGGCAGCCTCCTGAGATGGAAAAGTCGCTTAGAAGTCTAGAGAGCTCACCGGAGCAAAGTTCCAGGTGCAGGAGTTGGTCCCCGTTCTGTCCATTGGTCTCAACGAGGTGGTCCGCCAGGCCGTGCCCAATCCGAAATCCGAAGGAGCAGGTACTTACCGTTCTCAGCTAAACTTACCACGGCTTGTTCTGCCTGTTCCAGTAGGGGGCTGTTTGTTCTAGGGAGGCAGATCCATGTTGTGAGGCACAGCGTAGTACTACGTAGTCTTACACTTGGACCTTTTGCCACAAGATGTTGTCACGCGTGCTTCGCAGATTCGCAATGCCTCCCGCTGTCCCTGCTCATGCAAGGTCTCACAGCATTGCCTGGAGAGGGGAGTGGTCCTGGAGAAGATCTGGCGCACTTACGTGCCCTGCCTTCCTGGCCGCCTGGCCGATCTTCCGACGTTTCGCTTTGAGAGCCCTGCAGGTCGAGCTCTTCGAGCAAGCGCTTGGAGAGTCTCGTGAGGCGCTGCGGCGACAGAAGGCCTTCTTGAATCCCGCTTGAGAGTGGCAGCCTTGTAGCATCGACGTGCCATGATAAGCTGAACTTGGACAGGACAAAACCGCAAAAGCCGAGGCTGGATCGGCGTGGCAGTGCTTCTGAATATCGCTGCCTTGTGTGGATCACCGCAGGCAGAGCTGCAGCGGGTGCGTGAAGAGGCGGCCGAGCTCAAGGCCCGGGGCATCCCAGGGCATCCCAGGGCATCCCAGGGCCGTCGAGACATGTCGAAGCATTGCAGGATAGTGGCACCTGGAAAGGTAAAACACCCCGCCCAGTTGGAGAAGCTTCGCCAGACGTTGACCACAAAGCTAGCCTCTCAGCATTCACGGGGCAAGCGTATGCAGCGTGTTCTCTGCCCTGGCAGCGACAAGCAGTCAAGTCAGGTTCGACCAGCGTCAGAATGAGCTAGTCCAACAATTGACTAGCACGCGCAGCTCTTTGCTCAGAGACTCATGACGACACTCCTTTACGTCGAAAGCCATGCAAGCAAGAGTGCAATCCAGAGCGGTGACGCAGGGTGTGACTCGCTGAGAGGTTTGTTTTCCCTTGACAGCATCTGGCAGGTGAGAATCGGGCACTAAAGGTGCACCTGGAAGAGCAGCTGTCAAAGCAGCACGTGGACACCCCAGGATACCCCAGCGACTGAGATTATGATCTCGGCGTAGAGCGAGCTGCCCAAAGGCGTGGTTTCCGATGTTCGCGGTCTACAAGGACCAATGACAAAAGCCGGTTTTGTTCTCATTGTTTTGTATGTTTTGGTACAGGCTGGAGGCAGCCTGGGGATTGCCATCAGTGCTCCTGTGCTCCTGCTGGCTTCCTCTTGTCTTCGTAGGAATCGCGATATCGAAGAGCCTTGCTTGGAAAAGCGGTGGCGCTTGCCTGAGTCGATTGGTGACGCTGCGTGATGATTGTTGAACTCTGAAATGTTGCACCAATGGATCAAAGCAGCCGAGGCTGAGCTGCCAAAGGCGGCGAGCGTAGAGGCGCATGCTGTGCTATCTGATCTGCTGTCTGCTGTGCTACTGCTATGCTAGATGCTGTGCTTGCTCATGTCTCCAGCCATTGCGCACCGTTGGAGGCCCGCCTGGCATCCGATTTTCGCAGGAGTGTGCTGGCTACGAGTTGCTGGCGTTGAAGCATCAAGCTTCTGAGAATACGGAAAAGTTTTTGTGCTTTCAAGGATTCTCAGCTCGCTCCCAGCAGATGTCCGCCGACGAATCTTAATCTGCAGCAAGAGCAGAGAGTGTCCGCAATCTCGGCTGTCCTTCGAGTTTGGGGCTGGGAGTCATGCCGCCTTTGTGCTTGTGAGGAGTTGGATTCTTCATTTCATCCTTGCCGAGAGCCCCAGTGAGCCCATTCTCAAGTGACAGATGAACCTGCCGGCCTGCACCTCTGCCACCTGAAAGAGCCAGATGCACTCCACAAAGCTGTTCGCAGCCTTTGGCCTGTTCAAAGCGTTACGAAGAGCTCAATATCTGTCCACAGCAAAACGCTCACGATAGTAGGCTCGGCTTTACTGGGCAATCAGAGACGGCCTTTGCAGAAACATGGCGAGGGCTTTTCTCTTGATGGTTCTTGGCAGGCAAGATCAGCACCAGACTGTCTCTGCCGCATGAAGGGCCTTTGAAAGATCAGTTGATGGCAGGGCCATAGAGACGGACATGCTGGTCGATGAGTGTCGGCCGGGATTGCAGGCAGGTCCCTGAGATCCCCTGCGCCATGCTCCGAGATGCTCCGAGCATCTGCATGTCTGAGCGCTCTGAGCGCTCTGAGCACGCGAGCCTGTCCGCATCCTTAGGACGGCTGTGGGCTGTCGATGCTACAGCATCGAAGTACGCAGCACCTCGGCAGAATTCGCGATGGAGCCGCATTGTCCAACTCAAAGTCTCACTGTGTCTCACTGATCTGTGGCATTTCCTGCGAGGATACACGCAGCCAGCGAAGATGATTCTGCAGCTGCACTGGAGGAGCGTCTTGATCTCTGGGCATGCAAAGCGCAGAGAGCATCCTCGAAGTGCTAAGCAGGAGGCCTTGATCGAAGTCGCCACCGGGCCGCCAAGCTTTGCCCTCTGCGACGGCATCAGCTACGACAAGTCGCAGCAAAACTGCTGTGGAGGCCGATGCTGGAAGACAGGGCTCATAGCGTGTTCCGAAAGGCTTGCAGTTGGCCACGGATGGTTTGCAGATTGCCAAGGCGCCCTTTACTCGCTGCAGTCCGAGGGCTGCTGCGGGAATCGCACCGTCTATGCTTTTGCCAAGCAAGGCGGGGCATGCAGATGTGACTGGGGCGGTTTTCTCTAAGCCCCGTTTGGGTGGCGCTGCGAGAATGCCACTTGAGAGATGCGGAGAGTCAGCCTCGGCAGGCTGCTGCAACAACGAGCATGTTTTCACGTATGGAGAAGAGACGCTTGGCAGGAAGCAAGGCAAGGTCCAGTGCACACTTGTCTTAGCTGGCGATGTGTGCTCTTAGGGCTTAGATGTCTTCGGCTTTTTGAGTTTGTCTCCAGATATATTGAAATACGCCGGAGCACACAGAGCTTCTGCTGGTGCAGCTCGAAGCGACCCGAGCTTTGCACGTGGCCGACAAAGTGTCCTGCCAGATTGCAGAACGCGATGACATACCGAAGGGTCCTAATTTCGACCTTCGTGTTGCTCACCAACATGACAACAATGGCCTCAACTCAGCGAGATTTATGAACGTACTGGTATCAGGTTTGAGCCTGGCACAAATGTTCAGCCTTGAGCCTTTGGCCCTTGTACAAAGGGCGGGAAGACGTGTGCCCGAACATACGAGACAACGCGAGACGAAAGCGATTCTACAAGCTGGGATGACATGCAACTAGTTTCTGCTGGTCCGACCCATCTTAGTTTCTTCGCGTTCGCGGAATCGTTCGTTCAACCCAATCCAATTTCTCACAAACGATCTGAACGCCTTCCGGCCGAGTTGCGAGTTGCGGTGTGCAAACTCAAACTAAACAACCCGTTTTTCCAAGGAACTGCGCTGTAGCTCCGGCTCCAGGCGACCAAAACTCACAGTTCAGCTGCGCAGCTGACTGGCCTCCGGAATCCTACAGTGACCCAGCATGCAAATTGTGTTGAACTCGTTGAATTCGCCCCACAGCAGAGAGATGCAGAGAGAGGCTGCAGTGCTGCAGACAAGACACCCTAGGCAGTTACTGGCGCCGGTACTGCGCTGCAGGCTCGGAAATTCTTTTTGTCGGACTCGCGGCTGTCGCCAGCAGCCCCCCGTGAGGACATCACATGGCCTGGGCAATGACGGATTCCTGCAAAGTCGGGTGGCTCTCTGTGCAGCAGCAGCTCGGCTGATGTGTCGTGCTATGTTGACAAGGATTGTGTTGTGATGTCTTGCGCGCCGATGTCAGCTGCGCTGCTCCAAAGCTAGGAGCAGCCTCGAGCAGGCCGAGGCAAAAGCTTTGGAGGCCTGCAACAAGAAGGCGGGACTTCCCTGACCCTGTCTTCATGTTCCCCTGCGTGCATCTCAGTGCCGAGGCTGCCGCATTCAATGGCGAGACCTGCAAGATTTTCGACCGAGATGGCGGTGAATGCCGGAGGTGCGTGCACAAATCGTCCCTAAACCCAATACAAGCAGATGTGGCCCGATAGCACTGCGAAGTCTCAAAGTTATCCCGGCCTCCACAAGCAAGTCCGCAACCTACGAAAACTGCGGGCCTAGCGGTCAGTTTCCCTCGTATCATTGCATATCCATTTTCATCACTTTCAGGGATCCAATATGTTCTGTAAGGTCGACTTACCACTGTCATAGCAAAATGCTGCGGGGCCCTTTTGGACCAAGTGTGGAGTAGAGCTTCTCCTAGCATGGCTACAGTTCCAGAATTTTTCTACTCCGCGATTCCGCCCCACGGCGACTTTCAGAAAGTGGAAGGATGTGCTTAGTCAAAGCGCTACCTTGGCAACAGTGCCAACACGTGGAGTAGGCTTTTGGGCATACCCAGTGAATTTGGCCATGACCCGGTTGTAGATACATACAATTCATACAATTATAGACTTGCGGTCTCCGACTAAGCTGATGCAGCACGTTTTGCAGACGCCCGGACATTAATGTTCAATAGCACCCCGAGACAAAGGCCCCATCACGACAAACGTAGTACGTTCGAGCACACTGAACCCCCAAGCTCCTGCAAACGGAACAAGCTCTTCAAAAAGACGCCGGACCGAAGCTCAGAGTTAGATGGGGGCAATCAAGACAAGCCATACAGATCAGCCAGGTTTAAGAACTGTAGAGGAGTTCGGAAAAGTGTGGCGCCTGCACCTGCGAAAGCCAGAGAATTGCTGGCCAGTGGAAACCCTGTAAGTCCGACAGAACTCAAAGACAAGCACGACGGTCAAAAACCTGCCGACGCGTGCTGGGACAAAACGATCAGCGTGGGGCCGGAGGGGCAAGGAGATGGCAAGGAGATGGCAAGGAGAATCGGGGATCTGGGATGGCTTGCGGTCTAGTGCCGGAAGAAGCCACGAGCAGAATCGGAGAGTCGGGTGAAGTGGCGGAGCTTAGGAAATGCTTGAAGTCTTGAAAAACGCGGAGCTAGTTGGCCAGCTAGATTGGCTTCAGAGGCGGCTCGGATCTAACTTGTATGCCTCTGTTTCCTTCGGCCCTGCAAGGCAACGTTGTGGAGCAGAAATCTACGATGCATCAGTGCAACTCAGCAGGGCAAGCACAGCTTAAGCATGCTTCAGCGTCTAGCCGCTTTGGAGTAGTCAGCCGCCAAGGAAAGCATGCTGTGCTGGTCGGGTGATCGACCGTGTCGTGGAGGCCGGAATCGCTGAGTGGGTGTGATTTTCCCTGTCTGCATTCGAACGCAAGGGCTGCTGCGGCGGCGTTGTGTTCAAAGCGCAAAGCGAGGGCTGCTGTCAGGGGCGCGTCTACTCCAAGGCCAGACGCCAGTTGAAGACCGATTGCCGAAGTATCAAAACCAACACCATCTTGATTGATCTGCAACCGCGGCCATGACTGGAGGCATCATACAGTTGCTGCGGCGGCAAAGTCCTCTACGATTCTGCCGCGCATGGATGTTGCTTGGAAAACGGCGCGCAGGCAGGGATGCTGCAAATCAATGGCGAAAGGCTTCGCAAAAGGTAGCGATGTCAGAAATCCCGCGTTGAGGTCTACAAGTTTGGCGCACAGAATTGCTGTCGGCATCCAAAGGGTGTTTGCACAATTCGACATGGCCAGTACTCCTGTTGCCACTGAAGGGTCAAGAGGACACTGTCCAAGTGTCCTCATAACCCGTATGGGCGCATGTGCGTTTAGAGAGCTTCAAGGTCGATTGACTTGCAGCAAGAAACGTGTGCGGCCAGTCCTGACAGCAGCGGTGAAGTCATGCAGGTTGGGATTCGAATAAACTTTTGGCAGGCTTGGTTTTCGTGGCGTCGGGCTCAGCGCGGTCACGAGTGAGGCCAAAGGGCGTGTCATGGGTGTCCTCCTTTGAGCATTGCAAGACTGATGCTGTTGTTGACAACGTCGCTCAGCTCTGAGGCTGCGCAGGTCGGCATTGCCATAAATCGCCACCAGGGCAGGACGAAGGTAGCAAAACCATAAGAATAATCAGAAACGAGGCTGCGAATCAAATCAGACCGTCGGCGAGTCGGAAACAACCGCGGATCAGAAGCCGTGGCCATTTGAGCATCCAAGCTGGCACAAATGTTTGCATGCAGGCCACCAGAGCATCTATGCAGGAAAAGGGTAGTTTCGCCCGTGCTACCAGTGCATCCAAGTCCGACTCTGCCGTTCCCGGCCGTTTCCAGGTTGCCCATGCAGCCGTTTCGTGGCTTCCGATTTTCCTGTTCTGCTTGCCGATGTTTGATGTTTTGTATTGACCGTGTTGTAGCATCTTGAGCCAATACCTGCGAGGCGCTGCAAGAGAGGAAGGAGTTGAATGCCAAGAAAATCAAAGAACTCAAGGCGTGGACAACGAGATCCTGCACTGCTTCACTTGTTTGTCAGACGTGAACAGAAGCGAGGCAAAATTGCGGCAGCTGAAGGGCGAGGTGCGGCAGAGTAGCTAGTAGCCCTAGTAAGCGATCGTGTTCAGGATATATGCCTGGATTGTGTCAGAAATTCATTGGGTCAGGATACTTCAGAGAGCTCTGAAGATGAGGCGCTGGCTGTAGAGCCTGAAAGTTCCACAAAATCCAACATGAAGCCACTCCCGCCACAGATTGAAGCTCACAGGATCTTGGCGAGGCCGAGGAGGACAACACAAGTGAGGCCAAACGTGCGGCATGAGGTAGCGCGGGACGTGGAGCTATTGACGCCTGGATTCTTACAGATGACTGCAACACGACACTTACGGCCGATGTCAGTGCCTTGAGGCAAACCTCACCAAAATGAGCGGGGAGCAGGTGCAATTCATGCGTGTCGGACTAGCAGCAGTAGGGTTTCAGTCTTGATCTTCCGAGCCAGTGCAGCCAGTTTTGAGTTGCACCACCTTCCACTGGTGACCGCCTTGATGTGTGGAGGTGCCGGACATACCGCCGGCGCCTTTAACAGGACCGAACAACGGGGCCGACGAGGCCTGACGTCAACTCGTTCATCAAGTTGCATGGCATGAGATGCTGAGTTCAGCAAAGCTTGCTCGCAAAACAAGCACCTTGGTGTCCTCTTGCCAGGAGCTGGTGGATATGCTGGCAGACTAGTGGCGGTGGAAAGAGTTTCGAGAATTGGATTTGCTTGCAGGATGTCAGTTTGTTGAGCAGAGTTACGTGCCTCGCAAATTTGAACATCCTAATGCTGATTCAAACAAGAGGCTGTGCTGCACAATTGCGAGAAAAGAATTTCCAGGCACTCGCCATGACAGCTTGAAACTGAAACGGAAATGTTCAAAAAGCCCAGTATTCAACAAGATGCATGAGACCGCAGGATGCATTCGTCTCCCAGTAGGTATCCTTTAGCTCCCTTGTAGCATGGAATTACTCGCAGGCCGTGCTACAGTTTATTGGGTTCAGATACAAAAGAAGGCACTCAAGGATCCCTATTGAATTCAAGATGCATTTTTTTACTGAATCGTCTGAGACGTTTTGTGTTTTCCCAGCAACGAACTTCAATATATCAAGGCCCAGTGTGTCAAATTTCATGTGAATCTCATTGTTAAGGCGAGATTTCCGAGATGTTCCGGGGCATCCCTTTATGATTCTAGGAAAAGGACGAAAGGACAACATCGAATAAGTCATAACTGCAAGAAAAGTATGCTGTTTTGGCAGAAATCATGAACATCCAGTTAGCTCAGTGAAGCAACATGAGAGGCCATGAGCGCATGACTATTCCAGCGGCTGCTGGTCTGTGAATCGGTTGACATGATGGAACAAGTTGTCCAAATACCAGCAGACAGTTTTTGGAGGCTTTTTGCTGGCAAAGTCTCCCAGAATAGTGTTAATCGCAGTTTTGCGCTTTAGTTTCCGAGACCCTGCCTCACCCACACCGTAAGACGTATTCTCTGAAATTGGACGCTATTTAGGCACTAAGCCGACAGATTCGCATGCCTGTTGTATCAATTTGCATCCTACCGCCGAGCGTGAGGTGCTCAAAAAGGGTTTGTTTCTGCGGTGCTTCAGGACCAAGAATGCAGATGGCTTCTCGTTTCAGGACGAGCTTCTTTCAGCTCGGGCTGACCGGACATTTCTGTGAAACCGACATATTCTTTCAGATGTTTCGTTTGGCTGTCTGCCCCTGTATGATTACTCTTGCTCGTTCCTGCTTTGCAGCAACAGAACGAAATGCTTCGCTCGCACCAGGAGAGCCATGGGATCGCCCCGCCATCGCAAAATCGCTGCTCGAAGCTCAGTTGCCTTCGGCGGCTGGTGATACATATCAGGGTCCTTGAGGGAGGGACTCCCGAAGCTTCCCTAGGGTCCCTATAAATATAGTCATAATATAGTAAATCCCATGAAAGCAAGTCAACAAAAGCGGGAAATTTAACCCTTGCCACAAGCATCTCAATCTGGTCTCACATCGTCGCACTGCATAAACAGGGCAAAGAAGCGGTGAAAAGCTTCTGCCCGTGAGTGCTTTGGAGGTCTGGTGCGCGAAAAAGCCATGCTGAGCAAGCCACTCCAGTGGGAAGCCTGCTTCATGTTCCCCAGGACCTTGCAAAACATGAAGTTTGGATCTCCATTTGTCGGGCTTACCAATCTCTACTTCCGGATTCAGCAGGAACTTACGGGGATAAGCAGAAAGGCTGTTGCTCGGTTCTTTTCTGGCACTGCCACGCCACACCGCGCCTGAGGTGGCCAACTTGGTGACCCAGGAGATCCTGGCGGCAATGCTGGCGTTGAAGCAGCTCGTTGCCCCCGATATCTCCCAAAAAGAAGGCTTAGACTGCTCTCGCACTGGTGATGGTGCAGTAGACGGCACCGATGCCTTGTGAGTAAGCTCGAGCCTTCAAGCCTATTTATGTTCCCGAAACGAGAGAGCTTATAATGCTCAGCCACGCAAATTTCTGAAGGCGGCGCCGAAACTGAACAAGAAAGCTAACCGGTAAGCACAGAGAGGCCCTCGAACTAGGACGCACTTAGCATCAAAAAAGTCCGTTGTTGTGCAACCTTCTGCGCACATCGGAACCAACGCAAGGAAAGGTGATGCGGTATGCCTGACGAAACTATCGTTAAGCAAAAGTCCGTTGCATTGCCTATTGCGCAGGCAGAGAAGTATGCTTCTGTGCGCGGACCCTGCCAGTGTAAGCAAGAACGCATGGCTTGGGAACCAACGCCCAAGGCCAATGCTGAGGTGATGCGGACTAAATCCAAGCAGGTGCCGCCTCAAGGCGTTTCAGTGCGAAACTGAACAAGAAAGCTAACCGTTAAGCACAGAGAGGCCCTCGAACTAGGACGTTAGCATCATGCCTATTGCGCACTCGGCGCAGAGAAGTATGCTGACATACCGAAAAAGCCCGTTGTTGTAGGCAACTTCTGTGCACGGACCCTGCCAGTGTAAGCAAGAACGCATGGCTTGGGAACCAACGCCCAAGGCCAATGCTGAGGTGATGCGGACTAAATCCAAGCAGGTGCCGCCTCAAGGCGTTTCAGTGCCGCGTTGAGAGGACAGGTTTGTTTCCTAATGTTGGCCGCTAGAGCTTGGGGTGCTGAGCAAAGTCTTCTGGAAAGTTGCCTGCGGTTGCGAGCACCCTGATGATGTGCGCTGCCCCACACTGCAGGCAGCAGCAGTCTTACTTCCAGGTTTCGGTGAGCCGCAGCGGACGACGCATCCAAAAGCACCCTGGAAGCCATGGGGGTGTTCTAAGCTGTTGTCCGAGTTGTATTTGGAATAAAAATGGATCCATCAATCATAATTTAGAACAGCCTCCCCGCCATGACCCCCGTTGCTGACGTGCGCGGTGAGGAATTGAAGTCTCTGCGCCAACGAGGGCCGCTGTAAGAGGTTTGGGCGGTCCTCAAGACACTTCTGTAGTCCTTCGTCATGCTCACCGCTGATATCCGAGGCCGTTGTTTTGGCCGGGCCGTTGAATCCTTGCACGCCATGCGCCAAGACAACTGCCCCTGTTCCCCAGTTCCTTTCCCAAAGCTACTTTCCGAAGTCAGAAGGGGCCCGATATCTTGGACAACTTGTGTGGCCATGCTTTTTAGTGGACCTGAGGTGGTTGCTTGCTAAACTAAGCCCTGCTGACGCGCGGCCGTGCCTCCTGCCGCCGTTGGATTCCAAGCTCAAGTGACCGACTATAGTTTCTGTACGGTCCTTTGCAACTTACAAGGGCAAAAAAGTCGCGACTCCCCATCTAGTGATCAGTCCACTGCGGATGTTGGCTTTGTTCTTTAACATGAGGGGCCTTGCCCAAGTGCAAAATGCAGTCCGGGTAGCACCACACCAGAGCTGCTGCTGGCGAAGTACTGAAGAGCTTCAGATGTTTGCCCGATCATTCCCCTTTCTTTCATGTTCCAGGCAGGGTCCACAGCTCGTGTTTTTGTAGGCTCTTTCTCTGGGCCAGTGGCGACGCACGTAACAACGCACAGCATAATAAGGCCTTAACCTTTTGTGTATGTGAATATTGGCATATGCGGACCTCGCCCGCATCTAGGAGGTTATTTGGCGTTACAGGCAGGGTTCATTTAAAGGCAGCAGTTTTGGCGCAACTGATGCTGTCCGCGATTGTCTCACATGGTACTGGTAAAGTCGTCCAGGACATCTGTCGGCGTGTGCCCACTTGCAGCGCTGCAACATCTTGAACAGTGCCCATGGCACTGTGACAACTGCGTTGCAGAATTGTTAGCCTGAAGCAATCTTAAAGCTTCGTGCAACGATGAATAATGTAGCGTTGCAACATCTGGACCAGTTGCCGAATCACGGATGGGGACCTTTTTCGAGGGCTGACGGCTGGATCAGGTGTCCTGCATAGATTGTCGGGGGTGGGCAGGCCTTGCCGTCTGATGTAGCTGCAAGATGTGAACCCAAACATGCGATGCTACAATTAGTACCATTGCGCGCGTCGGGGAGTGGTGACAGTACTCTACATGGCCGCGTGCCAATATTGATTGCTTGTAACAGGGCCGGGACTCACACACGCGACATACCCCGTTACATAGGGTATGTATCAATGCCCGGGGTTTTGCGACAGACCTGCTTGTTGTCTTGTTTTGCAAGCCCCGTTTATGGCTTCCTCCAGTCGTGTATGGGCGCGCGACAGAGGTCTGTATCAAGATGGGCGTTACAGAGGTCTGTAACAGATGTGTGCGTGCGCGGTCCGCGACAACCGTGGGTTCTGGCACGCAGCCACATCTTCTGCCGCTTGTACACATGTTGCTTCAGCAACCCTGGAGCCTCGGCGCAGGACGTTGATGCATCGCGCTTGCTGAGAATGCATTGACGTCTGAGAGGAGCTTGTGCATTTCGCAGGCGCTGCCAGGTACGCAGGCCATGCAAAACACAGATATTTATATACACATGTGCACATTGTGAGCCCTGTTGGGCTCGACCCGCGACCTCGGAGTAGATGAAAGGTCTGACGGCAACCGTGCACCGAGCGTTGGCTGGTATCTCCAGGCAAGAAATCAAGATCTTTTGCCTCAACAAGCCATCACCCGATTGAAGCCGTGCATCATCTAATGCTAAGGGGGTTGCTGGCCGGGCGCCGCTCCAGAATGTAGGCGCATTCGTTAGCTCGTTGGGTCGCCCTGCCTTCTCCAGCTTCTTTGACTGCGACTGCGGAAGCTTTTGCTCCGCAAAAACAGCCACTGGAGTCTTCAAATCCTGGGCTTTCATTTCTGCGCGCTTCCGTG